TTGGTGGTTTCTAGTCCCCCCATTGTCTTTGGTGGTTTCTAGTTCCCCCCCTCTTGGTGGTTTCTAGTTCCCCCATTGTGTTTGGTGGTTTCTAGTTTCCCCCATTGTCTTTGGTGGTTTCTAGTTCCCCCCCTCTTGGTGGTTTCTAGTCCCCCCATTGACTTTGGTGGTTTCTAGTTTCCCCCATTGACTTTGGTGGTTTCTAGTTCCCCCCATTGTCTTTGGTGGTTTCTAGTGTCCCCCATGTTGGTGGTTTCTAGTCACCCCCATTGTGTTTGGTAGTTTCTAGTTTCCCCCATTGTGTTTGGTGGTTTCTAGTTCCCCCCATTGTCTTTGGTGGTTTCTAGTCCCCCCATTGTGTTTGGTAGTTTCTAGTTCCCCCCATTGTCTTTGGTGGTTTCTAGTTCCCCCCCTCTTGGTGGTTTCTAGTCCCCCCATTGTCTTTGGTGGTTTCTAGTTTCCCCCATTGTCTTTGGTGGTTTCTAGTTTCCCCCATTGTGTTTGGTGGTTTCTAGTTTCCCCCATTGTCTTTGGTGGTTTCTAGTCCCCCATCATCTTTGGTGGTTTCTAGTTTGCCCCATCATCTTTGGTGGTTTCTAGTCCCCCCATTGTCTTTGGTGGTTTCTAGTTTCCCCCCTGATTGGTGGTTTCTAGTCCCCCCATGTTGGTGGTTTCTAGTTTCCCCACTGTCTTTGGTAGTTTCTAGTCCCCCCATCATCTTTGGTGGTTTCTAGTTTCCCCCCTGATTGGTGGTTTCTAGTCCCCCCATCATCTTTGGTGGTTTCTAGTTTCCCCCATTGTCTTTGGTAGTTTCTAGTTCCTCCATCATTGGTTGGTGGTTTCTAGTCCCCCCCATTGTGTTTGGTGGTTTCTAGTTCCCCCATTGTCTTTGGTAGTTTCTAGTTTCCCCCACTGTCTTTGGTGGTTTCTAGTTTCCCCCACTGTCTTTGGTGGTTTCTAGTTCCCCCATTGTCTTTGGTGGTTTCTAGTCCCCCCATTGTCTTTGGTGGTTTCTAGTTTCCCCCATTGTCTTTGGTGGTTTCTAGTCCCCCCATTCTCTTTGGTGGTTTCTAGTCCCCCCATTGTGTTTGGTAGTTTCTAGTTTCCCCCATTGTCTTTGGTGGTTTCTAGTGTCCCCCATGTTGGTGGTTTCTAGTCCCCCCATGTTGGGGGTTTCTAGTGGTTTCTCTTGCTGGTTTCGAGTCCCCCCCCCCCCTCTGCTGGTGGTTTCGGCGCCCGAGGCTGAGGTTGTGGCGCTGGATTTTCAGGTTGGGCCGGGTTGGTGGAGGCCGGGGCCTGTGTGTCTGTCTGTCTGTCTGTCTCTGTATCTGTCTGTCTGTCCGTCTCCTCTTGGTCTGTCTGTCTGTGTGTCTGTTTGTGTCTCGTCTGTCTGTCTGTCTGTCCATCCGACAGTCAGTCAGTCTGTGTCTGTCTGTGTATCTGTCTGTCTGTCCATCTCCTCTTGGTCTGTCTGTCTGTCTGTGTCTGTCTGTCTGTGTCTGTCTGTGTCTGTCTGTCTGTCTGTGTCTGTCTGTCTGTGTCTGTCTGTGTCTGTCTGTCTGTCTGTGTCTGTCTGTCTGTGTCTGTCTGTCTGTGTCTGTCTGTCTGTCTGTGTCTGTCTGTCTGTGTCTGTCTGTCTGTCTGTCTGTGTCTGTGTCTGTCTGTCTGTGTCTGTCTGTCTGTCTGTGTCTGTGTCTGTCTGTCTCTCTGTGTCTCTGTCCATCTGCTTCTCCTGTCAGTCTGTCCATCTCCTCCAGGTCAGTCTGTCTGTCTGTGTCTGTCTGTCTGTCTGTCCGTCTGATCTTGGTCTGTCTCTCTGTCCCTCTGTCTGTCCCTGTGTCCATGGCTCATCCGTTTGTCTGTCTCTCAGTCTCTCATTCTGTCTGTCTGTCCGGCTCCTCTCGGTCTGTCCGTCTGTCTGTCCATATGTCAGTCAGTCAGCCTGTCTGTCTCTCTCCGGGGTCTGTTTGTCCGTCTGTGTGTGTCTCCTGTCTGTCTGTCCGTCCTGTCTTGCTCATCCGTCCATCCCTGGTCTGTCTGTCTGTCTGTCCCTCGGCCTCTGCATCTGTCTGTCTGTCTGTCTGTCTACAGGTCCGTGTGTGTCTGGCCATCCGTGTGTCTGTCCGTGTGTGTCTGTGTGTCCACGTGTCTGTCTGTCCATCTCCTCGCGGTCTGTCTGTCTGTCCGTCTCTCAGTCTGTCTGTCTGTCTCATTGTCCGTCTGTCTGCTGGCCTATTTGTCTGTCTGTCTCCCCTCTGTCCGTCTGTCCACGTGTCCACATGTCTGTCTGTCTCTGTGTCCCTCTGTCTGTCCACGTGTTCGTGTGTCATTCTGTCTGTCTGTCTGTCTGTCTCATTGTCCGTCTGTCTGCTGGCCTATTTGTCTGTCTGTCTCCCCTCTGTCCGTCTGTCCACGTGTCCACATGTCTGTCTGTCTCTGTGTCCCTCTGTCTGTCCACGTGTTCGTGTGTCATTCTGTCTGTCCGTCTGTCTGTCTCTGTCTCTCTGTGTGTCTGTCTGTCTGTCTGTGTGTCTCGTCTCTGTCTGTCTGTTCCTCTGTCTGTCCGTCCATGTGTCTGTCCGTCCTGTCTTGCTCATCTGTCCATCCCTGGTCTGTCTGTCTGTCTGTCCCTTGGTCTCTCCATCTGTCTGTCTCATTGTCTGTCTGTCCGTCTGCCTCTTGGCCTGTCTGTCTGTCTGTCTGTCTCCTCTCTGTCCATCTGTCTGTCCGTCTTGTGTGTCCGTCTGTCTCTGGGCCTCTGGCCGTCTGTCCGTCCGTCTCCTCTTGGTCTGTCTGTCTCTGTCTTTCCGTCGCGTCGGTCTGTCTGTCTCATTATCTGTCTGTCCGTCTGTCTTCCTGTCTGTCTGTCTGTCTCTGTGTCCCTCTGTCTGTCTGTCCGTCCTGTCTGGATCATCTGTCCATCCCTTGTCTGTCTGTCTGTCCGTGTGTTATCCTCTTGGTCTGTCTGTCCGTCTCTGGGTCTGTCTGTCTCATTGTCTGTCTGTCTGTCCCTCTGCCTCTTTTCCTGTCTGTCTTGTCTCTTCTCTGTCCGTCTGTCCACATGTCTGTCTGTCTGTCCGTCTCCCTCTTGGTCCGTCTGTCTGTCTCTGTCTTTCCGTCTCGTCTGTCTGTCTGTCTGTCTCCCTCTTGGTCTGTCTGTCCGTCTGTCTGTCTTCCTCTCTGTCTCTAGCTCTGTCTGTCCGTCTCCTCTCGGTCTGTCCGTCCGTCCGTCCGTCCCCAGCACCCGTCCTCTCTCTCTCCCCCCCCCACCTCAGCCCAGGCCGACTTTGACCTCGCCGACGCCCTGGATGACCCCGGTGAGTCCTGACCTCTCACCTTTCCCCCCTCCCCGACCCCGTGGCTTCACCCTGGCCGCTAGGCCTCACGTGCGGCCTTCATCCCGCTGGGGGCCTGAAGCCCGTGTGACCCTTCCCCCACCCCCCCTGAGGCCTTGGGGTCAGGGGTCAGGGGGTGGAGGTCAGGAGAGGTCAGGGGGAGCCAGGGGGGGGTCAGAGGGGACAGGAGGGGTCAGGGGGAGGTCAGGGTGGGTCAGGGTTCAGGGGAGAGGTTAGGGGTCAGGAGGGCCCAGCAGGGGTCAGGGGTCAGGGGAGTCAAGGGTCATGGGGGTCAGGAGGGGTCAGGGGTCTGGGGGGCTCAGGGGGAGGTCAGGGTGGGTCAGAGTTCAGGGGGGAGGTCAGGGGTCAGGAGGGACCAGGAGGGGTCAGGAGGGGTCAGGGGTCAGGAGGGACCAGGAGGGGTCAAGGGAGTCAGGGGTCAGGGGTCATGAGGGGTCAGGGGGTCAAGGGTCAGGGGGTCAGCGGTCAGGAGGGGTCAGGTGGGAGGTCAGGGTGGGTCAGGGTTCAGAGGGGAGGTCAGGGGTCAGGGGGGTCAGGAAGGGTCAGGGGTTGAGGTCAAGGGAGGTCAGGGGTCTGGGGGGCTCAGGGGGAGGTCAGGGTGGGTCAGAGTTCAGGGGGGAGGTCAGGAGTCAGGAGGGGTCAGGGGGAGGTCAGGGGTCGGGGGAGGTCAGGGTGGGTCAGAGTTCAGGAGAGAGGTCAGGAGAGGTCAGGGGTCAGGAGGGACCAGGAGGGGTCAGGAGGGGTCAGGGGTCATTGGGGAGGTCAGGGGTCATTGGGGAGGTCAGGGGTCACCACCCTCTCTCTCTCTCTCTCTCTTCGCCCGCAGATCCCACCCCGAAGCCCAGCTCGGGTGAGTGGGGTCCCCGCCTCCCCCCTACGCCCCCC